AGCGATATTAACGATGCCGTTGTTTACAATACAACCGGAGCACATGCCGCTGAGGTGAGGGGCGGGACGTTTAGACGCGCACTAGAAGTGGTTTAGCCAATCACAACACACTGGGCTAGCTAACCAACCAGAGCCCATCGTCTATTTCTGAGGGCGGGGCTTCGTAAAATGAGGAAATGATCAGCCCGTTTCTCAGAGAAGGGACAGAGCGGTGTGGAATAAAGGTCAATTATGTGAAAAATAATGCGTTTTTTAAAAAACGAAGCGTTAACACATGTTAGACTGCACCCCATAAACACAATCAAGCCTAGTGATCCACCCCTTTAAGTAATTTTGTGCATTCCTGATTCAGGTCGCTTGATGCATATTCTAAAGATTTTTAGGCCTTTTCCATAAGCGTGCAAATAGTTCCGGGTTTGTTGCATTGGAGTTGCATATCATCATCAGCACAGATCTTTTAGATATCACACTTTGAAATGCTTAATGGAAATGATTGCTGATTTAGAAGATGATGCAAGCATTTGTTATCATTTCAGGAAGAGTCACTCCTGTTCTCACGGATTCAGTGAGACTCTTGGTCTTTACGAAAGCTCGAGTTTTAATTGGAAACGGATTTATAATGTCACAGAACTGCATTTTTGGATGACAGGCAGTTTGTATTCAATGAAAAATGTAGGTTATGCTTGTAAACTACAGACATTGACCTGATGGACTAAAGCTGCTTTCTAGATTTTTACAGGAACATGATATGCATTAGGAGCTTTTTGAATTGCCATTGATCTCTTGTCGCTTCTAATGTTCAATCATTCTTGGTGATTTAGCCAGAAAACAGTGTTTGGTTTGAGAAGTCGCGCAATATCAATCTAATTTTCCTCTCATAATTTTTACTGTGATTTACCTTTGGCTTTATTTCAGTTCTCGGATCAGTTTGAGTACAAGGTTTTCATCGTTCTGTCAGATTAAATTTTCTGCAGTGTTAATTTAGAATTATTTAAATGCGATTCTATAAATAATACTAGATAAACGTATTATTAATAATAACTTAACCGAAATATTTATTACTATTTTGAGTAAGTTTTATATTTTCAGTTTTCATTTTAATTTTAGTTTTTGTAATTTTGTTGTGTGCCTTTGTAATTTTTTATTAGTTTTTTATTTATATTTCTGTTTAGCTTTATTTCAGTTTTAGTAATTTTAGTTCCTCAAATTAAACTTATTTCAGCTTTAAGTTTCAGTAAGTTTAAGTTTTTCATCTAATATTTGTTTTATTTGATAGCAGCTTTATTTCAATTACTGAAAATGTGTTTGTATTTTTTTAAATTAGGCTATTATTTATTTATTTATTTTTGTACAAATTTTTCTATTTAGCTTTCAATTATTTAATTTCAGTTTTAGTCATTTTAGTTCCTCAAATTAAACTTGTTTCAGCTTTAATTTTCAGTAAGTTTTAATATTTGTTTTATTTTATTGCAGCTTTATTATTACTGAAAATGCATTTGTATTTAAATATATATATATATATATATTACAAATGTTTCTATTTAATTTAAGTTTTAGTCATTTCAGTTCTTTAAATTAAAATAGTTTATTTCAGTTCTAAGTTTCAGCTGTTTTTTTATAAGTTTAAAGTTTTTATCTAATATTTATATTTTACTTTATTGCAGCTCTATTCCAATTACTGAAAATGATTTTTATCAGTTTTCTGAGACATTTTGAAGGCGATTCTTGAAGCTCAATATTGCAGTGTTTTTCGTATTGTGTCTGCCTCATCATGGAGCTTTTGCAGGGAGTTTCTGTGGCTTAAATCATATTTAAATGAATCTTTATTCAGCATCTGAGTTTGCAGCTGTTTTTTTCTGGTATTTTCTCTGAACATCTGCTGCTAGATTTCACTCAGGACACCTGAAATCTGTGTCCTCACAACTCAATTAGTTCTAATAGTAATAATAATAATAGTCTTCTTCCAGACGTTACTTCGGTCTGTTGTCTTCTGTCCAGCAGGCGTACAGTGTTTCTCACACATTACCATCATCACGTCTCTCTTGTGCGCTGCATTGATCAGACGGTATGAAATATTCAGCGCAGCTCCAGCATTAGCATGTTGAAGTGCTCATGGCTCTCTCCACACACACACACACACACACACTTAGTATTCAAGAGCGGCGCTGGATGGCACACGCGTGTCACCTTCATTGAGTTCAGATCTGGCCCAACACAGTACCAACAGTTTTAATGAAACTATTTTAATAAATCATGCTTAAAATCAAACACGGAAACAAACACACAATTTAAAATGAACATCCTGTAAAGGTGATTTGATGGCGTGAAAATTTGATTTGGGGAGAAAATCTAACTGCAGTTTTTTTTTTCACATAAAAATTGTGATTTTAAATCGCAGTTTTTAAAAAATCCAGGTTTGCTGTGCTTGTATGTAGGGCTATACAATTTAGTTAAAATGTTGTGCTTATATATGAATATGGCTACATAATAATAATAATAATAATGTTGTTGTTATTATTATTATTATTTAAAACTAAATAAGAAATATTAATGTTTTAATATTTTAGTGTAAAATAAAAAAGAGCCAGAATTTTTTTTTAAAGAAAAAAAAAAAAATTATAATAATACTATGTCACTGCAACTGTACAAGAAACATGATAATTAAGGCATGATTTGGGGGAAAATTTAATTGCAATAAAAAAAAAAATCCAGGTTTACTGTGGTTGTTTATAGGGCTGCACAATTTGGATAAAATTTTCTGCTTACATTTGAGTATGGCAATAATAATAATAATAATAATATTAATAATATGTTAGCAATAATAATTATTTTTTAAAATTACTAAATAAAAGTATAAAAATGATTAAATAAAATAAGATTTAATGACTTTTTAATGAGATTTAATTTAATAAGATTTCAAATTAAGATTTAATACTTCACTGTAAAATTGAACATAAAAAAGAAAATATTTTTAAAGAAATATATAGTAATAAAACTGCTATTGCAACTGTAAAATTACAATACATGAAACTTGAAAATTAGGGCTGCATGATTTGGGGAAAAATCTAATTGTGATTTAAAAAAAAAAAAAAATCCAGGTTTGTGTTGCTTGTTTTGATTAAAGATTTTGTGCTTGTATATGATTATGGCTATAATAATAATAATATACAATGTTATTTTTGTTTTTTATTGTTACTAAATAAAAACTAAATATGAAATATTATTATTTAATTGTTTCAGTGTAAAATAAAAAAAGATAAGGAAATCTAGAAAAAAAAATAAATAAACATATGACTATCATTGCAATTATAAAATTACAATACTAATTTTTATGGATATTTTACATTTTTTATTTGCAAACTTTGTTCATAGAATTTTTATTTTGAAGGAATCCACTCTTGTGTTGATCAGTGCTTCTGCATTAAGCTGTAAGCTTCTTCTCTTCACTCAGAGTCAGAGCTTCTGTCAGTGTGTGGGCTGAACGCTTCAGCCTGACTGTGTTAAAATAGCTCACTGCCTGTGTGTAGAGCAGGGTGTATGTAACCGGATGGTTATCTAATGGTTTTGTCAGTTGACTAACTGGAGGAGCTGTAGAGAAGCATGCAGTAGAAGGAGGGGTTTCATTAGTTCATTTGAGGAGCCAGCCAATGGCGTGAGTTTGGGGGCGGGGCTATCGGTGTGCCTCTGTTTCTTTGTATCTCTTTGATTTTCAGTTTGACCAATGACAGGAGTGTTTGGAAACTAAACCATCATACATTTTAGTGACACGTTTTTAATCAACTTGTACATCTCAACACTTTTAAAGGGGTCATATGATGCTGCTAAAAAGAACATTATTTGGTGTATTTGGTGTAATGAAATGTGTTTATGCGGTTTAAGGTTAAAAACCTTTCTGAAACGCGTCGATTTTTACAAAGCTCATCGGTCTGAAAAGCGAGGTGTGCTCT